AAAAACATAAAACACTTCAGTCATGACACTCAATTATTCGTGCAAATATTTTCTTTACTAGTTTCCTGTTTTTTTGCATACTTATTAATATTAAAACATTATTAAAACAACTCCAAGACTTTCTTGCCATCATATCTGTCATCAGTGAGGTGTTAGTTTCACTAAGCAGCCAAAGCTATGAATAGAAGCTGATGCTTTGAGGTTTTTTTTCTTTTTCTCTTGTTTTAATCTTCTGCCTTTGTGTGGAAAATGACAAACTATGAATTAAAACTTTTATTTTTTAGATATTTTTCCAAACGATCTAAGTAGTTACACATAATGCAACCATAATTGTGTTTAATTGTCTGAGCTGCTGCAGATCAGAGTTAAGGTTTTCTGGTCATGAGTTTGCAGCTCGATTTGACACAGAGGTGGAAAAGAAGAGACACCAGTTTGACTGAACAGCAAGAAAATCTGTTTATTTACTTCTAGTTATCATAAAAAGCAGCAGCTACATGGAAAAAAAAAACATCTCTCTTTAAAACCCCGCCTTCTTAATTTAAACGAGCCAATCAGATCAAACCTCCAGGGTCAGAAAATATATAAAATATTAGCTTTTGCATATATAATAAATTCTCTTGTTTTTAAACTGTTTTCGACTAAAGTTTTCCATTGGATCAAAACTTCAACATATAGCTCTATACTTAGGAAGAAAACATTTTGAACTGTAGAGTTAATGGGAAACTGGTGACGTTTCGTTTCTGTCACGCACATCAGATAAATTTGACATGAATGATCATGAGATGCAGGATGTTGTTGATGAGGTGTTAGTTTCTGTCTCTATCAGAGCTGATCTGGGTGTTGCAACTTTAGCAGCTTTGATGGATTGTAGGAAACTTTCAGCAGCCATTTTCTCCTCAAAGCGTGAAACCACAAAAGTTCAGAGATATTCATACCTTAATGGTCAAGCATTGAAAAACACGCATCGTCTCCAATAAATAATTTACAGAGATGGTTCATAAGCCTTTAATTTTATTCAAATATATTTTACAATAAAGGTTATATTTAATTCATAAAACAATGTAATAACACAATGAGTCTGTGTCTTAAGCTTTTCTCCACTAGAGGGCTCCAGTGAGCAGTGGTGGTTCAAATTGATCCTCTGGAAAATAATCTGTTTCTATTTAAATTAATCTGGATTAAAACTGTTTTCATGTTTCTTCTTTAACCTGAAACAATGAATCTGATTTGTTAAACCACATCTAATGACACTTATTCACTAAGGTTACAGTAGAGCCCGTCTGGATCGACGGTAGCAGAAGTATTCACAGTGATTTGTGTCAGAGCCAGGAATCTAAAACATTACAAAGAAAATACAGAAAATATGATTAAAATCAAAATTATGGCACTTTCTGCCCCACATAAATTCTTTTGCACATTTACTGTTAGTTCACAAATTGACAAATCTATGTAACAAATAGCTTTAAACTTAAACTTTTTCCCTGTAAATATTTTAGTTGGCAAATAAAA